GAAGGAAGACTGGGCAATCTACTTCCATAAAGATTTACCACTTCGGAAACCCAGTGGGTGTCACTATGAGTTGGAATTGACTCAATGGCAGTGAAGTTGGTTTATTATTATTATTATTGGTATAAACAACTTAGATTTGTTATGTATTCTTAGTAAAACATCATTTTTATCATTTTATAGTGACCCTTTATGTACCCTTTATTTAATCTATAGATTGCTTTGTGTAGTATCGACAGCTTAAAGATATTAAGTCTTTCAATTAGTGAGCAAAGGATGTCTTTCCATTTATTTAGGTATTCTTTCATTTCTTTTAAGAATGTATTATAGTTTTCAAGGTCCAAGTCTTTCACATCTCTGGTTAAATTATTTCTAGGTATTTTATTCTTTCAGATGCTATTGTAAATGGAATTATTTTCTCAATTTCCTTTCCAGTTGTTCATTCCTTATATATTTTTTCTCTCCTTATATTTCCAACTTCTTCTATGTCCTTAGGTTTTGTTGTTGTTGTTAGGTGCCATTGAGCTGATTTTTTGACTCATAATGACACCATATGACAGAGTAGAACTGCCCCCTAGGGTTTTCTAGCCTGTAATCTTTATGGGACCAAATCACGAGACCTGTGACATGCAGACGACACAACCTTGCTTGCTGAATGTGAAGATGACTTGAAGCATTTATTGATGAAGATCAAAGACTACAGCTTTCAGCACACCTCGACATAAAGAAAACGAAAATCCTCACACCTGGACCAATAAGCAACATCATGATAAACGGAGAAAAGATTGAAGTTGTCAGGGATTTTATTTTTCTGGCACCCACAACCAACACCCATGGAAACAGCAGTCAAGAAATCAGACATCGTATTGCACATCTGCTGTAAAAGGCCACGTCAGAGTGTTGAAGAGAAAGATGTCACTTTAAAGACTAAGGTGTGCCTGACCCAAACCATGGTATTTTTGAGTGTGTCATATGCATGTGAAAGCTGGGTAATGAGTAAGAAAGACTGAAGAGTCTTTGAGTTGTGGTGTTGGTGAAGAATACTGAAAGGATCCTGGACTACCAGAAGAAGGAACAGATCTGTCCTGGAGGAAGCACAGCAGGAATGCTCCTTGGAAGTGAGATTGGCCAGACTTCATCTCACCTACTTTGGTCATGTTGTCAGAAGGAACCATTCCCTGGAAAAGGATGTCATGCTTGGTAAAGTGGAGGGTCAGCAAAAAAGGGGAAGGCCCTCAACAAGATGGATTGACACAATGGCTGCAATGATGGGCTCCGGTATAGCAAGGACTGTGAGGCTGGCACAGGACCCGGCAGTGTTTCGTTCTGTTGTGCCCAGGGTCACTATGAGATGGAGCTGACTTGATGGCATCTAATAACATAGCATCACTAGACATTTCTCCTGCAGAGCCACTGGGCAGGTTTGAACTGCCCACTCTTCAGTTAGCAGTTGAACACTTAACCATTATGCCACTAGGGCCCCTTTCTTATATTTTCATATGTCTTATAACTGGATTTTGTTTTTCTTTCCAATCCAATCTGGCAATTCTTACCTTTTAACTAGACAGTTAATCTATTTATCCCTGTTGTGATTGCTGATACGTGTAGATGTGTAGCTATTATTTTATTTTGTGTTTTCTATTTGGTCTCTACTCTTAGATTCACTTTCCACTCAGCCCCTCTATCCTCTCTGCCTGGCACATTGTAGGGTCTCAGTTTTTTTTCTGTACAACAAGGATGGTTATCCTTTTACTGTACAAAGCAGATGTTCAGGGCCAGGGCGCAGGCCAAGCTGCTGGCTCTCCCTGACTTTGCGAGATGGTGGCAGTTCCACTCTCATTTGTGTGGTGAGAGTGCAGATGCTTCATGCAGCAGGTACCTTTGGGGAATATTGGTTACCAGCTGGCATGTTGTATAGGGGACGGAGAGTCAAGAGAACAGGGCTCCATTCCTAGCTCTGACACTGACTTACCTTGTGAACGCTATCAAGAAATTTTAGACTAAGGCAAGGAAAACTTTCCCATTCAAGTCATTCAATAAATATTTGAGTGCTTACTGTGTGCCAGGCACTATGCCAGGAGCTAGAAGAAGGTGTTCATTAGCTTCCTTGACTGAGAATTGATTTTAGGCCTCCTGTATGGCAGATAGGGAGTTCTGGTGGCATAGTGCCTAAGGCATTTAACTGCTAACCAGAAGGTTGTTGGTTCAAACCCACCAGACACTCCATGGAAGGAAGACTAGGCAATCTACTTCCATAAACATTTACCACCTTGGAAACCCAACGGGGGTTGCTATGAGTCAGAATCAACTTGATGGCAGTGGGTTTTTTTTTTTTTTTTTTTTTGTATGGCAGATAAACATTCTACCACAGAACCAATTGGAATGGACAGCTGTAGGTAGTAATGAGCTTTTTGTCCTCAGACACGGGCAAAATATCAACTGTACCACCATGTAGTAGCTACTGTTGATGTGGATGGCTTTTTACACTCTTCTGCCCTGCAGTTACATGATTCTGTGGCCTTGGTCTCTCAATCTTGGCATTCCTATTGTAAAATAAGCAGGCAATTCTAAATAATTTCTAAACCCTGACTTGTTCTTCCATTCTGTGATCTTGGATATGTGAGTTATGGCCTGGGTGTTTGAATCTCAAATTTCTTTACCATAAATCAAGTTTGTGAAGTGCTAGTGCTGCATGGCAAAGAAAATGGCTTAAGCACTGTTACTCCCCTTACCATGCCCATGGCAGACATTGCTAATCAATCTCAGCACACCTTCCAGCTGAGCCCAAATCCTTCTAATTCTGAACGGGGCTTTGCCAGGCACTGACTCTTTGTTTTATCCCTTGACAGAGCATGGCCAGCGCAGCACGAGAACTGGTCATTCAGAGGCTGAGTCTAGTACGGAGTCTGTGTGAGAGTGAGGAGCAGAGGTTGCTGGAACAGGTGCATGGTGAAGAAGAGCGGGCCCACCAGAGTATCCTGACACAGCGGGTGCACTGGGCCGAGGTGCTGCAGAAGCTGGACACCATCCGCACTGGCCTGGTGGGCATGCTCACCCATCTGGATGACCTCCAGCTGATTGTAAGTCTAGCTGGGTAGGGACACAACCAGTGGGCCAGCCTCCCCAAAAGTTTGAAAGCATTGAAGAGTGTTCACTGGAATGAAAATTCGGAGCAGGGGAGAGACAGGAGAATGAAATTATATGGATCCTTTTTGTACCTGGTAACAATATTCTTTTAATAATGAGCAAATATTTATTGAGCACCTACTCTGTGCTAGCCCCTGTGCTGTGAGGTAGAGTTATAGCATACAGTTATCAGCTGCATAGAAGGAGACACATATATAAACTGACAATTAGGATATAGAGGGGTATGTGCTGAGCTAAAGGAAATCATTGGAAGCTAGGAGGTTCCAGAAACCAGGAGGATGTCAGGAAAGGCTTCCTAGAGGGAGTACATTAGAAAGTGATGCCTGAAAGACAAAAAGAGTAGCTAGGATAAAGGAAGTGGGGAGCAAGGGAGGGTTCAGAAGTACGCAGAGAGGACGCTGTGCTTGGGGAGCTGAAAAGAGGTGGAATATGAGAATACAGTGCTCATCCTTAATCCTGCCACCCAGAGGTCACCATGATTAACATCAACACGTATCCTTTGAAATGGTTTTATATAAATAACAGATGCCTGCAGTTTGAGGTGGCAATGTGACATCTGAATAAAACCGCCAAGCAGAGGAATGAGAATGTGGAACAACTGACAGGTCCCATTGCAATTTCAATGAGGAAATCTCCATTCCTGTCCTAGACTGTTCATTCATTTAGTTGTACAGCTTCCATGTACCAAGCATGTTTTGTCCCAAACACTGGGACAGTCACAAAAGAAGATTCAGAAAGTGTCCCAGCCATCTGGGAGCTGACAGTTTTCATGGCGGATGCTATTGAGTAAATGGATGGTTATCCTGAAGTGTAGTTCAGGCGAACCCAGAATGCTGTGGGACTCAGGGAGTAGGATTTATCCCAGCTATGTGTTATTTGAAAAGAGCCCTGGTGGCACAGTAGTTAAGTGCTTGGCTGCTAACTGAAGGATTGGGAGTTTGGACCCACCAGCTGTTCCCTAGGAGAAAGATATAGCAGTCTACTTCCATAAAGATTACAAGTGGAAATCCTATGGAGTGGTTCTACTCCATCCTATAGGATCGCTATGAGTCGGAATTGATTAGATGGCAACAGGTTTTTTGGTTTTTTAATGTGTTATTGGAGATATGTGCTATGTCTTAAAGGAGAGGGATTTTTTTTTTTTAATTCTAGAGTCTCTGTCCACCCACAGGTCACCATCATTAACATTTAATATGTATCCTTTGAATCCTCTACGCTAGTTATATATGTTCAAGTCTTCACCACTTGCAGAGTTTCTGGTGCCAAGCCTGATTTTTCTTTTTTTCCCCTCACAGCAGAAGGAGCAAGAGGTTTTTGAGAGGTGAGTATAGTCCCGGTGACTTATTTGGGCAGTTTTGGAGACCCTGAGGTGCTGAGGCCTTTACCCAGTCTGTTGCATTTAGGCCCTGCTACTCCTGGGAGGCTGTACAGCTAATGGCTTCCCTGGAACCAGGCTTGTCGGACAGGGATGTTCCTGCTGCTCACTTGGAGGACTGCTTTAGACCGACATGGCAGGGCAGTGAAGTGAATATTAATTCATTGGAGCCTTGCCACCCTGTTAGGCTATTCTGCCCCTTCCATTTAAGATGAGATGCTGAGGCTTAAGGTGGGGAATGGACTTGCCTGAGCCCCAGAGCCAGGGGTTTATACCCAGTACACCTTCTGATGCCTGTCCTCATACTGCCTGCGTACCTCACTCCCCCTTTCTCTGATGAATTGATTCTTAAAACTTAAGTCTGTATTACCATGCAAAATTTGCATTTTAATTATGTGTTAATAAAAGAATTTCATTAGACTCTGCCTGGGTCCTGAAAGGCTAAGAGCCCAAGGGATTGAGGAAGTGGCCAAGAGGAGATAATTTGCCAGATGATGTAATTAACCTTCTCAAACTTCCTATGTAAGATTTCACAACTGTACTTGGGGAACATAATCTAGTCTTCTGACTTATTTATTTTATATTTAAGTTTCAATAGCAATACATGTGCACAGAGAAAAAAATCCAAATACAAAGCCACTTAAAATAAAAAACCAAATTTCCATCACCCCTTCCTAATCCTGTTCCCTAGAGGTGATGAGATTTAATAGATGTGTGTCTTGCGGACTTTTGTCTAAGTCACAGGAGAAAATGTGGGCTTTTTGTTTCTCTCTCACTCTCTCTCTTTTCTAAACCAGATGCAATAATTTTATACCTGTTATTCTATAACTTATCATGATATCTTGGACATCTTTCCGTGTGTCTTTGTTGTCTGTTGTTGTTGTTATGTGCTGTCGAGTCAGACCTGACTCATAGCGACCCCTCCTTGGGTTTCCGAGGCAGTATCACTATGGAAGTAGATTGCCCCATCTTCCTTCCGAGGAGTGCCTGGTGTGTTTGAACCACCAGCCTTCTGGTTAGCAGTCAACTGCCTTAGGCACTATGCTAGAAATACCACAAGTGGGTGGCTTTAACAAACAAATTTATTCCCTCACAGTTTTGGAGACTAGAAGTTCAAATTCAGGGCTTCAGCTCTAGGGGAAGGCTTTGTCTCTCTGTCAGCTCTGGGGGAAGGTCCCTGTCTCCTTTAAACATCTGTGGGCTCTGTATCCCTTGGAGATCTCCATGTGTCTTGGCATCAGTCATCCCCTGGGTCTAGGAGGTTCTCAGCGCAG